CCTTCGTGTTTCCAACTGCTAATAATAAGCTTTGCGTCCACAAAATGGTTTTATTTAATTTGTACTAATTATTAGACTACTGGTTTTAGTGAACATTAACTCTCAGTTAGTTATGTCGAATTGGTTTAGGCGGGAAGTTCTTGTCAAGGAACCGGAGAAGCTGGGGGATGAACCTATTGACATTACTTCAAAAGAGTATTCGGTTCGGACTACTGCTCAGGAGTACGGCGGTGGCGCTTTCATGATATCTGGGGACACTCTAGTCTTTTCCAATTTTGAGGATCAGAGGCTCTATAAGCAATCCATTAACCCCAATGGTCGTTTATGCTGATTATGTTGCTAAATTTTTCGAACTTTATAACTGAAAATTTAAAGTTTCAACGGCTCACAGTTTGCGTTTTCAGTGAAGCCAGACTCTTCTCCAAAACCACTTACTCCAGATTATGGTGGGCCATTAGTCAGTTATGCTGATGGAGTGTTTGATTCACGTTTCAATCGTTACATCGCCGTACGGGAAGGTAGATACTAGTTTATGATTACGTTGTTAACAATCGGGGGGATCATATGTTATTGGGTATATTACTCATTTATCATTTCTTTCCTTTTGTTTTGTTTTGTTAAATTACTCCAATCTTGGTAGATCGGCGCAACAGCAGCTCAAGTCCAATCGCAACAATTGTATCTATAGGGCTCGAAGGGAAGGATAATGAAGGTGAAAAGTTCTGTGCACTGCTAATTATGTTTATTACTGTGAGGAAAGGAAACCTTAGTATTTCTATGGAGGGTCCTTCTTTGCTGATGAATGGTGTTGTTTTTTGTATCTTGTTTGAACATAATTCTCAGAAGTAGAGGTACTCGTTGAAGGAAGTGATTTTTATGCTTTTCCTCGAGTGGATCCCAAAGGGAAACGGATTGCATGGATCCAATGGTATCACCCTAACATGCCATGGGATAAATCAGAGCTCTGGGTTGGTTACTTTTCTGGGAATGGGTGAGTTCAAGTGTATTTGAACTTTCTTTATAGATATAATATAATCTTCTTACTACCTTTATCGTCTTTGCTTCAAATGTGAAATTTTCCTTCATTCCCATCTTACAATATGATTGTTGTACATGATCCTCCTTTTATTCTACTCTGCAGCAAGATTGACAAACGTGTTTGTGTAGCTGGTTGTGATCCAGAGCTAGTGGAGTCTCCTACCGAGCCTAAGTGGTCTTCTGAGGGTAGTTTTGTATGCCAATCAATTTTTTTTGTTTCTTGCACCGAATATCTGGGCATTTTTTTCTTTTTAAAAGGATGCATTATCTTTTGTTATGGTGCTCTTCTTGTTCGTCCTCTTGTTATCAGCTATCCTCTCTACAGGACATGTTTACTTACTACTTCTTCTGTGTAGAGTTTTTTTTTTTAATTTTTAAAAAATACATTTAAATTGACAGAACTCAGTCTGCTGCATCTCAGAACAGGTAACGTTTACTTATTACCATTTGATTGGAATATGCAGGAGAACTATTTTTTGTTACTGATAGGAAAAGTGGGTTTTGGAATCTATACAAATGGGTATGATTTCGTCTTTACTTCTTGCTTCATTGATATGTTTTCTTAACCAGTATATCTCTTTTTATTTAAAATACATTAAAAAATGGGTCTCTATAATCTTGCAACAAGGCGCCAATAAGTAGTATGTCATCGTAATTAACAAATTTGGTGCCCTTGAACCGGCATAATCAGGATCAATTAGTCATATTTCTGTTACTTGTACCTTGCTAAATGAGTGGGTTAATGATATGTTAATTATATCAATTCGTAATGATATTGATAACTCATCATTTTTTTCCTTGTTTTGTTATGGAAACTAGTTTGAGGCAGATAATGAGGTGTCTCCAGTTTATTCTTTGAATGCGGAGTTTTCGCGACCGCTATGGGTTTTTGGCATAAATTCGTATGGGTTTTTACCTAGCCGTCAAGGAGAAAACTATATACTCTGCAGCTACAGGTAACTAAAAACTTTGCTGACTGGCTATTGCGAATGCTTTCTCTTGTGTTTTTATATATGTACCAAGTAGTAATCTTGCTCACCAAAGCCATATTTTTCCATTTCATTCAGGCAGCATGGGAGGTCATATCTTGGAGTCCTGGGTGATGCACAAAGCTCACCATATCCGCTCGATATTCCCTTTTCAGATATTGATAATATTGTACAGTACTATCAGAATCAGTTTATCATCAGTTCTCATGAAAGTCTATTTTGCTTGCGATTGGTATACCATTATTTTGTAATAGGAACATCTTTTACCTTTGCAGAGCATTGGGTATCATTGTTTTTATGTGGAGGGAGCGTCAGCCGTTCATCCACCGTCAATTGCGAAGGTAATCTTGTTGCTATTTCTGGTACCTTGTTCATCCTATGATTTTATGAATCTGATCAACGGTTCTTTCTTGTGTAGGTTACTCTAGATGAGAAAAGCTTAAAAGTTGCTGAGTTCACTATTATCTGGTCTTCATCGCCTAATATTTTGACGTATAAGCCGTACTTTAGCACTCCTAAGTTAATTGAATTCGCAACAGAAGTGCCTGGTGAAAAGGCTTTTGCCTATTTTTATCCACCATCCAATCCCATTTACCATGCTAGTCAGGACGAAAAGCCTCCATTGTTGCTGGAAAGCCATGGTACGTATCAGGCAGCTCAAACTCACCTTGCTGGCATAATAATGATATGAATTTGTTCCTTTTCTTTTAATGAAAAGGAACATCAATTAATAGGTATGCAGATAATATGATAAGCACTAGTATTCGAGATGATTAAGGTGTCCTCTAGACAATTGTGAAAAAAATTCTACCAACAATACGAACAGTCATTGGATGAGCTAGATTTAATCTCTCCACTTAAGATAAGTACCATTTAGACTTTGGCTAGGACCAACAATCCTGCACTTTTTCAAAAAGTTCTTATTTCCATTTTAAAATTACTTGCAAGTGTATTTAGGCGTGTTATTCTTGGTTTTGAGGGAAAATACTGGCGATTGATTTATTGAAAAAGGAGTGTATAATTTACACTAAAATGTTAAGCACTAATTAAGGCCGTATAAATATTTTATCTGTTTATATCCCAGATGTATACTCTGGTTCCAGCACTTTTTAATTCTCATATATATTGGCATATCTCCTTATATATATACTCTTATGTATGAGATTTTACAGGAGGCCCAACGGATGAATCACGTGGAATATTAAATCTAAGTATTCAGTATTGGACTAGTCGAGGATGGGCTTTTGTCAGTGTTAATTATGGAGGAAGCTCTGGTATGTATCCTCGAGCATTATTATTTCACAAACGAGTTTTGAAGGATAAAATGAAAATCTAATAATGTTGATAAAATAGTAAAAGTTTCTCATTGCAACGCCTAAATGATGTTTCTTTTGTCAATTTTCTTCCACTACATGGACTATATGATTATATTTTGGGTAGTGAGTTAGCCTCATTGAAGTTTCCATTTAGAGTTCATTTTGAAACGGTTGTGCATTAGTTCACTGTGAATTATATTGGTGCAATCGGTAGTACTTATTCATCACACTTCTTAGTTTCACTTCATCTACATCAATGTTTTGGTTTGTTTGGTTTATTTAAGGTGCATTTTTATCTAAACACGTGAGGTTATTTATTTATTTATTTTTGAGTAAAGGTTACGGGAGGGGCTATCGGGAAAGGCTTTTGAGGCAGTGGGGAATTGTTGATGTCAATGACTGTTGCAGCTGCGCAAGATATTTGGTGGCTTTCTTTTGACATTTATTTCTCTTAATATTTTTAATGTTACGATCAATTGATAAAATCATGTTTCGAAATATTATTAGGTCGATTTAGGATTAGTTGATGCAGAACGATTATGCATAACTGGGGAGTCTGCTGGGGGATACACTGCCCTAGCTACTCTTGCTTTCAGAGATACATTCAAGGCCGGAGCTTCCTTGTATGGTGTGAGTATTCAGTCATATGCTTCATTTGAAAGCAGCATGATTATTATCAGTTGTGTTGAAGCATAGCTCATAAATGAAGTTCTGGTTGTACCATGAATGGTCCCTCTCTGTGTGAATAAACTGGATTCTTTTTGTTCTTGTGCAATACCTTTTTCTTTTTAGTGCCTTGCATGAAGAAGATATAGTCATTATTATCTTGGTATGATGTCAATAATTTTACATCTTCTGATTGTCGGTGTCCTAGCCAGTTTATGCACATCTCGTTGGCCACGGGACATCTTAAGTAGGTGACCATTGTGGTTTAAACTAATTACTCCAAAGACATTTTACTTCAACTATTGTGCCAACTTGCAGTATATTTTGAATTTTCTCACTTTTTAGAAGTCATAGACGAGATGCAAAAGGATGCATTACATTCACTTTACAGAAGCTGCAAACTAAATGCTGATGTGTTAATATTTAAGTCAAATGAAACGTGAAATTGGAAAATTTGAAGTCTCTTTCTACTTGAATGTATTGCTGATGCGTTAATCATCTATTTTCGTTGTTTGGAACAGATAGCTGACTTGCGCATGTTGAGTGCAGGAATGCACAAATTTGAATCTCATTATATTGATAATCTTGTTGGTGAGTTTGGAAAGAACAAAGAGTGGGATCAGTATTTGAGTTCTCTAGACCCATTACCTACTTCTTGGTAACCGACGCAACTTTATTATGGATTGCAGGAGGCGAAAAAGATTATTACGAAAGGTCGCCAATTAATTTTGTTGAAAAATTTTCTTGTCCAATAATCTTGTTCCAGGGACTGGATGACAAAGTAAGCGTACAAGTTTCCTTTCTTTTTCAACTCAAATGATTTGCTTTCTCCCTTAGCTAACTCAAATGATGTTCAATTGATTTCCCTTTACCCTAAATGCTCAGGTTGTACCTCCTATTCAAGCTTGTAAGATTTACCAAGCATTGAAAGAGAAGGGCCTTCCTGTTGCTCTAATCCAATACGAAGGAGAACAACACGGCTTTCGCAAGGTACATCTATCTATCCATCTTGTAACTTGGTTCGGAATATTAGTTCGTCGAGGTAATTACATGCTAAATCTGAACTCTTGCAACAGGCCGAGAATATAAAATTTACACTGGAACAACGGATGATATTCTTCGCGAGATTGATTGGATGTTTCGAAGTTGCTGATGAGATCAGTCCAATCAAAATTGACAACTTTGATTAGTATGAAAATGTATGTGATTCTTGAAACCATCCCATTTCCTTAAAAGCCTTCTTGTTGGCTGGTTTTAACTGCAGCATTATGCTACTTCATGAATTATTATGAGCCTATAAATAAAAATTGACAGTTACTACCGGAACAATCATTGCAAGTTCTTAGTTTAAATGCATGCCTGCGATTATCTTTTACCCTTCTTTAGAGGCTTGGATTGGAGTTCCAGGCGGTTTCATGGCAGTGTGAGCTCTTGGTGCCCATTGTGACCAAATACTTTGATCGTGACATCGCTTCTCATTCTATCCATTGGTTCTACCTGTTTACAATGGACAGTCAGGCTCGAGAACTGGACTCGAATTGAAGCAACTGTAGTTTAGATGATGCTGGGGCAACCGACTTCTTAAATCAATCTCAGGTGGAATACCGTATGGAGAGTGGAACTGCCAAATAGACTTGAAGTGAACTCGAGCCAGTTATTTGAATCCTGTTTTTGCCGTAAGAAAAACCATCTTGAAAATTTTATACTTCTGTTGATATTTCTACTAACATTATTCTTTTTACAAAGTACATTGAAGGTAACAAAATTCGACCTTAGAAAACCATTTATGCAACGCAATACCAAAAATATTATTTTACATCTAATGATGTGACGATTTACATTTCAGAATAAACTTTGACAACTTAAAGATTTTAAATAGTCTTCTATTAGACTAATAAACGCAACATATGTAATTTTCAAGTGTGGTGTTATATAAAAAAATGGCGCCGTCTGTTGCGTGGAAATTAGTATAGTGTGAGTTCTTAAGCTCGCTTCAATGAGTGTCTGTGCTCTATTAGGCCTCGCTCGCTTTTCTGCTCCATCGTTTTCTCTTGTCTCCAACTTCAACGCCTTGAATAGAACATTCATCAAGCGATTCTCCACTCGAAGACAATATCGGAGCTACAGCTGCAAGCCTATGGCTTCGTCGGTGTCTTCTTCGCTTAACACTAACAAAGATATCTCAGAAGTAGCAGAGCAGTTGGAAAAAATAACTGCGCCCTACGGCTCATGGAAGTCGCCAATTACTGCTGATGTTGTTACTGGTGCATCGAAGCGACTTGGTGGTACTGCTGTCGACGGCAATGGGCGCCTTATCTGGCTCGAATCGCGGCCAGCCGAATCCGGGTATCAATATCGACTCATTCGCTCTATCACGATTGGAATGTTTCATTCTGAATTCGGTGGTCGTTTTCTAGTTCGGGTTCAGCTTGAATCTGTTTGTATCGATTGGGATCAGAATGCCGCTTAGTGTATTTCCGTTTTGAATTGGTTCAGGCGAGGAGTGCTCGTCAAGGAATCGGAAAAGCCAGGGGATGAACCTAGTGATATTACTCCAAAGGAGTTTTCAGTGCGGAACACGACCCAGGAATACGGTGGTGCTGCATTCACGGTCGCCGGAGATATCGTTGTCTTTTCGAATTACAAGGACCAAAGACTGTACAAGCAGTCCTTAAATCCAGGTCATTCAATCTAGACTCTCATGTATGTGTTAACTGATGGAGTGGATGTCTTAACCTTGGTTCACTTGATTGCTCATTTCCCTGTAAATGTGAGTGAAGGGGAAGAACTTGGAACTTTCAACTACTGATAAGTTGCGTTTTCTGGCAAGCAGATTCACCTCCGCAGGCACTCACTCCCGATCACGGTGGACCATCAGTCAGTTATGCAGATGGGGTGTTTGATTTTCGTTTTAATCGTTTTATTACTATCCAGGAAGGTACATAATTTCATATAGTGTCAAGAATTCAGAAATTGTGTTATCAACGTATTTATCATCGAAGTTTCTTTCTAGCCACATATATAACCGCGATTAATTAATTCATTTTGGTAGATGGACGTCAAAGTAGCTTGAATCCAATCACCACAGTTGTGTCAGTAAAACTTGACGGAAAGGAAATTGATGGTATGCATAATACAACGTGTTGTGATTACTGAGGAATTTGAATTACTGACTACATAAATTCGTACCGTAATTGGTGCCATTTTTGGGTATGACTCCCAGATCCGAAGGTCTTAGTTGAAGGAAATGATTTCTATGCCTTCCCACGTGTGGATCCCAAAGGGGAACGAATTGCATGGATCGAATGGGGTCATCCTAACATGCCGTGGGATAAATCTGAGCTCTGGGTTGGCTACCTCTCTGAGAATGGGTTAGTCGAACCGTTCTCCTTTGTTGGTTTATCTTACTTTTTTAAAGAGTCTGTTTGTTATAGTTCTTAAATATTCTTTTTTTTTTTACCATCTTATATGATTTAATTTACCATGCATTTTTGCTAATTGGAGCATAGCTGAGTGGATAAGACAATTATTACCATTTTGAGGGTCAATCACACCCGCAATTGTTAAACTAAAAAAACGAAAACAATGCATTTTCATTTCTTTTCAAATGTTAATTTTGTTTTTAACTCCAATTTATGTTAGAATCCACTAAAACTTTGACTGAAATAAAATTGTTGTCTTCATAGGTGAGAGACGTGTATTTTTGTTTTAATATCTGATATGATTTGAAACTGAAGTTTTGGATTATGATCTCGGTGCTTTTGGTTTTCTTGCAGAGAGGTCTACAAACGAGTCTGTGTAGCTGGTGGTGACTCTAAGCTTGTGGAATCTCCTACTGAACCCAAGTGGTCCGCTCATGGTATGTACAGTAGCTATTAGAAATGGTTAAAGAACTTGTGCCTGACTGAATGTAATGCTTGGGGTTCTTCTGGCTTTTATTTATTTATTTTGGGAATGTGCAGGAGAACTATTCTTTATTACCGATAGAGAAAGTGGGTTTTGGAACCTCTATAAATGGGTAATTTTTTCCCCCTCCATTTTAAGGTTACCTGTATTTTGTTCGAATTGCAGAACTATAGACAATGCATTTGGTTTGTGAAATCAACTGCACAAAAGATGGTTCTCTTTAATTCTTATTTTCTGATTGCTTTTAGTTTAGTAATCACGCATGCGTGGATAAATGAATTCTTTTTAGACTTTTTTGGTACATAATTTGAGAGAGTTAATGGATACTTGTAGTAGTATATTTCATTGTACCTCATGCAGGCATGCTTATGCATGCTTTTCGAAACATGGTTTTGTCTAGTACCTTAATCATTTATGGTAGGATAAATGATAAATCTATTGTCATATGCATGTAATATCAGACTCATCTACTTGGTTATATCGTTGCAAGCACTTTGTGGTTTGCTACTCAAATATATTACTTTCAGATCCTTCTGCTTTAATAAACAAATGAGATTCTTAACTGAAACTGATATCTGGTTGATGGTCAAGGGGAACCCCTCATTTTATATGGCCTGGACTTAGAGAATTTCAATGTTTTCTCTATATGCTTTGTTGATAAAACTGAAAAGGGGATGTAGGGATCAAGATGATACCTCTGAGTGAATTTTGTAAAGTCATTTTCATCATAGGGAAGTAAGGTGGATTCTTCAGTCATCTCATAAGGAGTTTAATTTTGAAATTGCCTTAGAGTCAGGGAAACAAAACGGAAAGAGAGAACTTGGTGGTTAGCTAAACCATTCTATAATCAGATCATTTGATAGTGGCCTCCTTTGCATATATGTGACTAACTTGATCCATAATTTAATGTTGCCAATTGGAAATAATGGCAGTTCTAATTCTTGCTTGATGCTTATCATGGAAACAGTTTGAGGCTAACAATGAGGTGGCTCCAGTATATTCTTTAAACGCAGAATTTTCCCAACCCTTATGGGTTTTTGGCACCAATTCTTATGAATTTTTAAAGAGCAGTGTTGGGAGAAACACCATAGTTTGCAGCTACAGGTGACTGAAGAAGTTCCTATTTTGTATACTTTACTTACTCTTAGATTTTTGTGGATATTCAACTGCTTTTCCTGCCATGGCTCATGCAGACAGAGAGGGAGATCATATCTTGGAGTTTTGGATGAGGCGCAAAGCTCATTATCCTTGCTTGATATCCCATTCACGGATATTGATAATATTGTGAGATATTTTTATTTTCAGTTTTGTAAACGATGTGTTTTCCCAATGATATTACCTTGCTTTTATTTATACATCTTTATCTTTTCAGACTCTGGGAAGTCATTGTTTATATGTGGTAGGATCCTCGGGACGTCATCCATCATCTATTGCTAAGGTTTTATGTTTGCTGTCATATGCTGTCTTCTATTTTCTTTGCACTGCTTTTTGCCTTCTTACATTGCCAAAAGTTTGCAAAGCTCCCGGTCAAAAACTTTGAATGATTTACTTTCTGCTTGCCCCATTGTCTTCTTCGACAATAACACTTTCCCTTTGCAGGTGACCCTGAATGAGAAAACCTTGGAAGCAGCAGGTTTCACTATTATCTGGTCTTCTTCGCCAGATATTTTGAAATATAAGTCGTACTTCAGCCTTCCAGAGTTTATTGAATTTCCAACTGAAGTTCCTGGCCAAAATGCTTACGCCTACTTTTATCCACCGTCCAATCCTATTTACCAGGCTAATCAGGCTGAAAAGCCTCCACTATTATTGAAAAGCCATGGTATGTTGCAATTATCCTGTCATTAACCTTTCATACTTGAGCAATAACACAAACAATTATCCTGCAATGTTTAGATTTTTTAGGGTGTCAGAATAGTTTCCATTTATTTTGAGGAACATTTTATATATATATATATATGTATGTATTCTATTATCATTATTATTTCATAAGAAATAGGACAAAAGGTGGTCTGTATTTGATCTTAACTATGTGCTGCAAAATTGGAAATAATTCCTTAGTTGCATTGATTTCTAGTTAGGTTTTGGCATAGCTCCTTCTGCATATATGATAAATGTTGCACTACAGGAGGGCCAACCGCTGAAACACGTGGAATTTTAAATCCTAGCATCCAATATTGGACTAGTCGAGGCTGGGGCTTTGTCGATGTCAATTATGGCGGTAGCACCGGTATGTTTGCAACCATTTCTTGTTTGAGATATATTTGACTATAGTTTAAACAGAAATTGTCTTAGAATGGTCATGTTGCTCTCTTCTGGCTTTTTTAACATACTAGCATGAACATGTGCGATGCACATGAAATATTCTAATTTTTAATAAAAAAGCAAAAATACTTAATGATTATTTTTAGCTTTCTATTTTCTTAAAAGTTAATAGATGCATATTAGACCAGAGAAATAAAAGTTTCAAAAAATAGAGAGTTTTTAGAGAAAGATCCGAAAAAATTTAGAAGAGAATCTCACTATTTTGTCTTATTTTAAAATATTAAGAAAATAGTTGCAACTCATTAATTGATTAAAAAAATTGACTTCAGAAAATACTATTAACTGACATCTTTTTTTTTTTTTTGAGAAAAAAATTAATTACAATTTTGTAACGTTATTTGTTTCTACAAAAATAAAGAAATAACAAATAATGATATTTTAAAAAATAAATGGGGGCATTTTTTAAAACAAATATATTTTTTTCACAAAACTTAACTGTCTACCCATCTCTTCTTTGTTTCAACCCATCTCGAGTTCCTCTTTATTCTTCCCCTTCTCATCCTTTTCTTCTTCTCCTCTCCTCCTATGCACCAACCGCCACCATCACACCCTCCCTTGTTTGTAAATTGCCACGGAGTGACTTCTCTTTTCTAGAGTCTCCTCAATGAACAAATTGATTTATGTTTGATAGGGTTGTAGATATTCAAGAGAGTCTGACCCCATAAAAGGGGCAAGTTTCCGTCCTTTTTAATTTGTCTTTTAGCCTTCACAGATGGCCTTGGATTCCATCACATTCGCCTCCCATTCCTTTTGATAAATATAAATTTTCTATTGTAATGGGTCATATAGAGAGAAGAGAATCATGGGAATGGAAAGAGTAAGGATTGAATCACTTAGTGCATTCCATAAAAAAAAATGGTTCACTTTATTTTGCAAAATTTAGGGCTCTTCTTGACTTGCGTACCCATGAATAATGTGGTTTAAGGTTTCATGAATTGTGTTAATGTGGAATTTGTGTTGAGAAAAAGAAACGGCATAAATGATAAATGAATATCTATGGAAGTTGAAAAGTTTGTTTGGAATTGTAAAAGTTGAAAATTGTATAATTGATATTTAATAAAGAAAGGAACGTAATGAGAATTTAAAAAAGTTTTTAAGGGCAAATTTGGTAGGCGAATCCATAGGAGAGGGAAAAAATGGAAGTGAAAGTTTCTCTCCTATAGCCCCTACAGCATGGATATAGATTTATCAATTAACCTCCATTCCACGTGATGCTGAATTCTAGATATTTGCTGCAGTTAGCTTCTCTAATTGAGGAATGTTTTTCATGGTTAACTTAGTTATTTACTAAGGTATTTATAATTTGCTTTAAAGGTTATGGGAGAGAGTTCCGAGAAAGGCTTTTGAGGCAGTGGGGAATTGTTGATGTCAATGACTGCTGCAGTTGTGCAAGATTTCTGGTGGCACTTTCCTACAATCTTGCTCTTTAGAATTACTGGAGTCATGATTCAATTAGTGATACGCTGTTCTAACCTTTAGTGATGGTAAACTGTATTGTTTTCTCTAGGTGGACTCTGGAAAGGTTGATGGAGAACGATTATGTATCACTGGAGGCTCTGCTGGGGGATATACGACCTTAGCTGCTCTAGCTTTCAGAGATACGTTTAAGGCAGGAGCTTCTCTGTACGGGGTGTGTCTAATCATTTTCTAACTTGGTCTCTCATAAGAATTCAAGTGATAAGCAGCACAGCTCGCAAACCAAGATTTATAATATAGATTATGCATGTGTTATCTGTTGTTGAACTATGTTATATTATTCTGCTCTTGCACTGAAACAATAATGAACGCATGGTATGATATGATTTAAAAATCTACTTAATCTCCAATAACTAAAGCCAAGAGTAAGAGCATGACTCCGGTCAATAATTTTGTAGTCTGAAGAGAGATTACTGCTCTTTATATTCTACTGTCAGTGTCTAAGAGTAAGAGCATGACCCATTATCATCTTTAATTGTGCTGATGTGAGAGATTTTTTTTTTCTGAGGATTGTTTGGATTGCTTATATATTTTGATCTTTTGCTTTCGGTTATATATATATGACTTTAGGTTTAGGAGATCGCTGTCCTAGTATTTTGCCCTTTTGCTTGCAACATTTTGGAACTATATACCATGCAACAGTTGACTGACTGTAGTTCCCATGATCTCGGAATAGGTAGCTGACTTAAGCATGTTGAGGGCAGAAACACACAAGTTTGAATCTCATTATATTGACAATCTCGTTGGTGAGTTAAAGAAACAAATAAAAGATCTTATATTTTATTGCTTTCTCATTTCAGTAATTGATATCTCTGATCCGATCACAATGGACTGCAGGGAGCGAAAAAGATTACTTCGAGAGGTCACCAATCAATTTCGTTGACAAATTTTCTTGCCCCATAATTCTATTCCAAGGATTGGAGGACAAAGTACGCTGCTGATTAATCTCTCTTTTTTCTCCTCATAATGTTGACATATAACATGAACCATTATGGACTTTATCTCTTCATGTTTATAAAGGTCACTGGTTTGATGGATTTTACACATCATATTGAATTTCCAGGTCGTACTACCTAATCAGTCTCGTAAAATTTATCATGCATTGAAGGAGAAAGGCTTGCCTGTTGCTCTAGTCGAGTATGAAGGAGAACAACATGGTTTCCGCAAGGTACGTGCTATTGCATCTTTTGAGTGATACTTTTTTGTTTTGGAATTAGGGTACAGAATGCTAAATTTGTGTATATAATACAGGCGGAAAATATTAAATTTACCCTGGAACAGCAAATGATGTTCTTTGCTCGGTCAGTTGGACGCTTCCAAGTTGCAGACGATATTAATCCAATCAAAATTGATAACTTTGAATGAGCATCTAACATGCTGGTACTTATGTTTGGAAACCTTCTACTTTGTGAATTAAATGATGAAGTTTTTTGAGATCTTCTGTCACTAACTTCAACTCAGCATTTGGACGAACTATGTTGGTCTAGAATATATTTTTTTTGCATCTATTAAGGGAGCCACTTCTGAATTTCTGCATGTAGCTTCATGTCATCGCAACTGTAACATGATTGTAAAGATCTTCGATTCTTCCTAGCTTTTACAACCTCGTGCTCCTGGTATCTTGTGATGCTATTATTCAGGAGCCCAGCTATCTCCTAAATCTATGATTCCATTTTTTATAAAAATTCGACTTTTACTGTTTTCGATTTTTCACCAACAACTGCTTATCCCATACATAGATCTAGTCAAATTCCTCACTGTCATAATGGCAAGAATGACCTACATCTTCTGAAACGAAGATCTGTTACAAAATGTTTATAGGGTTTCCACTAATACCGATCACTTTTTGGGTATGATTACCACCTATTTGAAGAAAAATATTGTATGCATTCTGCAATAATCAAAATTTGGTTCGATGCTACTATTACACTTGATGAAATTTATTTAATGTTACTGCATATCGTGACAATATCATCTAAAGTGAGTGTTCTTATTACTTAACTTTTTTTGAACTTTCTTATCTTTTTTGTACATTTAAGGATGATTTTAGTACTTATATAAAATGAATGGGGGAGTTATCAGCCGTCAATTTATGTAAACATTTCAGTTATATCTAATCCGTGTATTCCCCCCTTGAGCCACATTATTTAACCTTGACTCTGTGATCTTGCAGACTGTGCGAGGTCATGTAAATGCATTTGGGTTGTGATGGCTTTCTCGCTACAATTCCATATGTATACTCGTGATGTCAATACGGTAGAAGTTTGGAGTCGCTTCAAACCATGGTGGATGTCTTTGATGGGTTTGATTGCTTTATCTCCAATATTTTGAAGTATAATTTTAATGAATAAAATAATTTCATTTTATTTACAGTTTTGTAAAACTAAAAATTGCTTTTTTATTTGACATTGTTCTCTCTCACTCACTCTATCTCTCTCTATTTTTCTTTTCAATGTATTCCCTTTGGTTGTGGGAATTTCTTTGAAAGTTTTGTTGTAGTATCCGTGTTCAATGTCTTTTGATAGAGCTAGAGAAGTGAATCCAATAATTGTACTGAATCACAACTGTCAAACGTTTGAGCGGTCCTGGTGCTCTTTTGAAAAGAAAGCCGGATGTCCGTAGCACTTGGATACTAAACTGAATGCTTTCCTCCCTACCTCACAAATTTTATTCCTACCCCGTTATGTATCCTATCACTATTACTCTGTTACTAATGAAATTTACATAGGAAAAGACTATTATGCCGCTTTCCCCTAAGTTTATAATGTTACACTCATTTTTTTGCTCTGTTTAAAGGACCTACACAGCCTTCTTCGAGCATATGTAGAACATATAGGGACTTGTTATTTCTATCAATACTGCTTGTCGAGAGTTTCACCTTGCTTTGAGGTCGAAGTTTGGGAACTAAGGAAGTCTTCCCAAGTAACTTCTTTTTCTTGCAGTCCTTCCCATTGAACAAGAGCTTCTGTTTCTCCTGTAGGGGAATTCAGTAAATGGTCTTATTTTAGATGAGAAAAATAACTTTTTTCGAGAGAGCAAAACAAAGGAAGGAGAGCCTAAGA